CCGCCTTTCCGCAACTTTTTCTCCATCAACTGGGAATGAATTAGCTAACTTCCTGAAAATTTGTTCAGAGTAGGCAAGACATTTCTCACCATAGCTTAGTTGTGCAAATAGATCCATTGTGCTAATTAAACGGAATGAGGAGTTTGTGTCCTTAAAGAACCAAAGAACCGGGACTGTCCTATATTGTGGTCAACCCTATATCAATATTAGGCTGTCACTACTAGGTGCTGGAAAAAAAATTGAGCCCACTGTGTTCGTGTTTTCTTTGATGTGCTGAAATATTTATCTCAGGTGGATAGGTTTTATTTGGTTCTTAAAGAGATTTTTTGTTAGTTGATGTTTTTGAAGGGATGTTTCGAGGACGCCCTTAATGAACTAATCAGTTTTGAGATTTCGAGGCGATGTGTAATTGATGTAACCACCGAGGACTTTCAGTACACACCAGACTAAGAGGCCTCAAAAGCGACCCCGAGCTCTCTGAAAGCCATGGGGGTTGTTTCTAGAAGAAAGTAGGGCTCTGGTGGAGAGTAGACGGGCTGCCTCTCCCTAACCCGGGATTTCATTTAAATTAACATAGACAAATAATGGTCTGGGAGAAAGCCTCCGGTCAAGGGCAGGTGGGAGGATGTCTGCGGGGACTTCTGCTCTGCCCTCTCTCCATTGGGAAGGGCCCGGCTCTGAGCTCAGTTCCAAGAGATGGGAACAGCCATTTCCCCCCAAAAGAACCTGCCCTTCCTGGAGGTCACGAGGTGTGTGTGTGAGCACGTCAGCCCAAAGTGCAAAAGCCCCCCACCCCCACCTTCTTAGATACCCAAGAGAAAGTAGAACTGAGCTTGGGAAGAAAAATGCAGAGGAAAGGGCTCATCCCTCATCTCAGGTAAAATAAAAGTGTGCCCTGGCTGCCTTTACCCAAACAAGGCGGGGCTTCTGTAACTCCCTGTGGTCTTCTCTCAGGAATTTTCTAATAGCTATAATTAATTTCCAGTGGCAATAACTGTTTTTGATCACCCAATGCATCCCTTAAGAGAGCGTGAGGCCCCCCTCGACCCAACCCACCTTATCCCAGGAATCTGTAGTCATTCTGGACAACCAAGTCCAAAGAGAAGGGCTTTTCCTACCAGAATTCCAGGGAGCTGAGTCCATTTCAAGCATCCCAGCCCCCACTAGCCACCTTAGAGGTGGGCATAATCTCCCTGCTTTCAGGCCTTTTTGCTCTCTCCTCCTTTCTCTCCTTGGGAAAGGGAACTGCTGTCCCAGTTTGGTGTTCCCCAGCCACCAGTCCCTGGACCCAGTGCAGAAAGGAGGATCCGCACAACATTACTGCGATGGAATCAGATAATCAGTCACCCCGACCAACCTAAAACCAAACATTTTCTCCAAAGGAGTAACTTCCAGTAAAAGAAGTTACTATATTAAAAAAAAAA